ACTGGAGTTGTATCGTGTATATTAAAGCGCTTCCCAAGCAGGGGTGCATGTCCGAATGGTTAGTATGATAAGTTGAACCATATGTTTGTGTCGTGTGGACGTTAAACCCCATCTCTCTCTCTCTTTCTCTCTCTCTCTCTCCAAACGAAACAAAACATAACAATGTCACGTGACAATATTCCATATGGTGAATAAAGGCGTTCTTTGATTACAGTAGACAATTCGATTATGGTACATTATGGTAAACATTTATAGGGTATTAAGTTACATATCGGTCCTATGTATATTAGCGGGGTCACGTTAGCTATGTGGGTAAGACGCTGGCTCGCTAGCTTGGAGGTCGGGTGTTCGATCCCTGCATTGGCTGAGAAAGTTCATTCAGATTTTCCGGCGTTGTTCGGCCTTGTCAGTGATGGAAAGAAAAACCGAAGTATCGTGTACATATTGGCGTGCACGTAAAAGATGCCTTGACAGTTGCAATTCTATATAAGAGTAGACTGTAGTGCAGCTCCCCGGGCAAAATTTCCCCCATATAACACTGTATGGCGTGTGCCCGTCTTCATTAGCCCAGTTCGGAGCAGAACAGTAGAACGTTAAACCCCATTTCATTTCATTTTCTTATCGTCACGTGTCTTTATTATGATACTGCTTGTGAACTATAAATATATCAGCCATCGCATTTTCCATAACTTCAGTGGCATATGCTAGTCAAAACGGTACAATAATATTGGGATTGGGCGCCCTACAAATCATTAAAAGTATAACAATTGCTTGTTGAACAAGTGTCGCTAATGAAAGTTTTTTTCCCAATGCAGCAAATTCTAATGTGTCCAAATCGCAAAACCTACTGGGCTAGTTTCTTCTGTTTTATTTAAGTTATTATTTTTTAAAATATATTCAAGAATACGTCTTTTACAAATTTGAATATAGCCACAAATAAATGATTATTTTGATACACACTGTCATGTATTTAAAGATACATTATGGGAGATAAGATAAAGAGATGGCAGTTCTCGCTATAATAGTTAAAAACTAGATAGTGTAAAGGTAATTTGCTGAAAATTTCAGTCAAATTGATCCACTATGAGCCGAGAGAGAAGCCGGTGAAATTTTTGCATAGTCTCGGTTAACATTACTAAAATCAATAATATAAACAGCATAGTCTCGATTGTCCACTTTTTCTGATTTAATTATCTTTGGCCGTTAGCGGCATATAGGAATCTAATCCAGCCTACATCGAAGGCTAGCCTTGACATCGAGAGTTTATTATGGTCTGGATAAGTTAATTAATGTCTAATTGATAATTTAGATAACATTTCTGGCCTAAAGACAGACTTGTAATAAGCAGATTTTGCTCTTGCATAATGCATGTTTAATTATAACCACAAATAAAAGATTATTTTGATACGCACTGTCAAATACGATGCTAAGTTGGGTTATTATTGGTTTGTATATGAAAAGGTTAGTTCCAGTGATTTGATAACTAGAAAGAAAATAGAACCTTGACCAGACACCTAAGCCAAATGCAATCAATATTGCTACATAAACCTATTGATTATTTGAAAATATCAAACTGAATTTAACATAAAGTTTTACACGTATTTACATGTTTTTTGTTAAATTAACACAACACTATGTTACCAACCCATGTACTTTGATTCTGTTTACGCCCACGTTGAATCATACTCATGAAATTTTCCACACAGAATTTCAATTATTATTACACGGACGTCCTTGGGGTATACGGACAAAGGACAATTTCGGACAACTTTTTATGTGACTTCTTTTGAGGGCTTTTAGAAAGCATCTTAGATGTCAATTATACAGATTTAAAAAAAAAATATATATGCGACTAGTCACACAAGATAAATAGCCACATATACAAAATGGACCTACAAATAGCCACATTACACCCAGTTCGTGAGAACACCAGGCCTAATCTTATTTCAGATTCCAACTGTACAGAGTTTTTTATGTGCATGTCAATATGTACAATGGGGGAAAAATATTGCAACATGGTGGATTTCTGATGTGGAAAGCCAATATGTATAATTTGCTATGTGGTAATGACATGTATATTTGAGAAGAAATTTCGAAAAGCATCAAGTCATTTTGATGGGACAAAACTAACGAGTTCCATCCATGTATTTGTTGCCGTGCATGATGCATTCCTGTCTTCATTAACCCATTTTATCCATTCATATTCAACCGTCGGATTGCTTTTCCAGTAAGACACAAAACAAGAGTTGCTTCCCTTTATGCATTTGTTATCTTGTCAAATGGTAAGTTATTTTTTTCACGTGTGACTGGGAGGTCTTGTTGGGAATTGAATTAACGACCTTAGTTCTGGAGTTCCTAAACCTCTAAAGAGTGAACAAAAGGGAATTCCCCGCGACAATGTCAGTAGGAAATATATTAAAATTGGTGATAACACAAGATGGAAATATCAGGGAGTCCCCATGCAGTCATACAGTGTACCACATACTTACAGAATCATCCAACAATGGCGATATTCTGTAAAAATGATATATAGGCCTAGAGTCGATTTTGGGCCATAGGGATAAAGTTGAGTTCATTAAATGGCTGTAAAATCTTGAATTGGGGTTTAACGTCCACTCGACACAAACTAGGTCATTTCGAGACTAACATATGGTTCAATTTTATTTCAATAATTAGTGGGAGGAAACCGGAGGACCAGGGGAAACCCACGAAGTTGGACAGGCGACCCTACTCCTTGTCACGTACAACCGGGGTTTCGAACCCACGCCAGTTGACTCAATGACCGACTTTCTGATACATCACGCACGTGCTAACCATTCAGCCATCCAACCTCCCGTCTTTGTGTACACTAATCAACTAACTTAGCAACAATTGCATGCAAGCCTGAATGGTGGGTTGTCATTAATCCGCCTTTACTAATACAAATTGTTGAATATGTATATTATTTTAGAAATTCCAAACATTTATGCTAAGGCACTGACAAAGCTAGAATTATTATGGTCGTCAATAATCTTTTCATCATACTAATTGTCGAATATGTGTAGTGAGGCGATTTTCAGATCATTCTAAATAAATAATATGTCATGCTTATCCACACAGCCTCACTTATTTCGACGAACCGTATTTTATTCAATCTTAATTCACCTCGGTGCACCTTGCTGAGAAGATATGCCCTAAATGTTTTCTTTACTATATGCAAATTTACATTTAGAACACTTTTACGTAATTCTTGCCGATGTGACCTTTTGGAACACAGTGTTCCACATGACACTATCGATATTTCGAATTCAACCAATTCACGTCGCGCAAGATATCGGTCATTGTCATTTGAAAATTAACATGGGTGTTACACAGTCCGTAGGGCATAAGTTAATATTAAAAAATATCGTCAGCAATCCCTATTTGCCAGTCAAGAATTCGGAAACTCTCGGATGGCGATACTCCCCTTTGAGTCACCGGACTATAATGAAAGCATTGTAACCGTGTCAAAGGCTCGGTCTGTTTGTTGCAGTTCTTCTTATGGAGACTAACTTAAACACTCCTCGTAAATTATATGTCATGTACTAGACACAAAGACAAAGAACTGTAGGGGATTGTATTCATTACGTTAAGATTTCAAAGTGCCGAAACGTTCTTATTGGTGGTCAGACTTCTATCAAATATGAACGGTGCACAGCTGGTGGCAATGCAAAGAAAGGAAATGGGGTTTAAGGTCCTACTTTTCTGCACCGACTGGGCTAATGGAGACGTCAGGCGCCATACAGTGCGCTGTGAGTGACATTTTACCCAGACAACGGCACTACGTCCTACTCTTATTTCGAATATAAAATGTTAAGGATTCTTTTAAGTGCACGCCAATGTGTACAAGGGACCTCAGTTTTCCTTCTCATAGTAATGACAATTCATTGTCTCTTGTCAAGCGGAACCACGCCGGATACGCAACGATCGAACAGCAAGAACAGCGAGCCAACGCCTTACTCACTGAGCCACCAAGGCTCCCTGAATAAGGTTGGAAGTTGTAAGGGACTGGATGGGTCTGTCCAATTGGAAGAAAAAAGGGTGTATTTCTTTTAATAATAAATAAAAGTCATCTTCTTAACCACTTCAAAATATAATGGCCTAAATCCGAAGAGAAAAATGATCACTGAGTGTGAGTGGGTTGCGGAAAAGGTGAATCCAGCTAAATTCGTTTCCTAGACCTGGCACTTATTCTTCACTGCGATCGATCCGAGGATATCATAAAATGTACAGCTGTGGTATGCGGGCGGGGGGGTGGGGGAGGTCGGTGTAAGACCCAACGTTGATCCAAAGGTTATTGAATGTAGACTTCGTCACCTGGCCCCATGTTAACAAAACATTCTCAAAAATAAGTTAAGAATTTACTCAAAATTGTCCACCTTATTTTAACTAAAATATAGCCCTTTAAAAAACTTTTATTGTTTTAATGTATTAAATACATCAATAAGAAAGCTATGTGCCAAGTTTTGTGTTTCTGGATTAAAGATATTTCTCATAAACAGTGATTGAAAGTTAAGCAAATTCTTAATTCAAGTCTGAGAATGCTTTGTGAACTCTGGGCCAGAGCTACTGAATGCATCTCTAGCATTAGTATCAGCGAAGGCCCCCATCTGACTTTCACGCGGTTTATGACTTTCCGCTACCCGGGCAATCACAGATTCTGAATTAAAAAAAGAGAGAGAAAAAAACTAACCATTATATAAATGAAATGGAGTTTAACGTCCTACTGGTCTGCTCCGACTGGGCTAATGAAGCCGGCCATACGCGCCTTAGAGTGTGCTATGGGGGAACTGTTGTCTAGCGCTATGACCTACTCTTATCTCAAATTCCAACTGCCCTTTTACGTGTACGCCAATGTGTAGACGAAACCGCTGTTTTTGGTCCCACCCGAACGACTATACATTGTCCCTTGCCATACCCTCTGTCCTGCGCTATAGTGAGAAGGGACACTACGTCGGATAATCCAGAAGAACACCAAGATATAAGAAATATTATAGTTTATTATATTGTAATTCAAACATAAAGAAATAAATATGTTTCAAATATGTAGACAAAATAAACTTATCAAACTCATTATTCCTCTTTTATTTGAAAGAAATATACTTAATCAAAAACCCAAACAGTAATCTTCCCTTTTCATAAGACACAAACTTTATCTATTTCTGCTCAGCAAATTTTATATCGCGCATTGAAATCTTTTCAGAACAATTTCAAATTTCCGAATAGAAGAATAATTCGAGAAACTATGAATTTGTTTCATCATAAAAGCCTCAAAAACAAACTCCTAAAGTGTTTGCTTCGTCATAATAAGCCATTTTAGAGAAATTTCGAAAAATAAAATCCCTCATTGATTTCAACACTGGGAATAATAAAAGCGAGTAAAAACAAGAAAGTTGCGCCTCTTGAAAATTTGTTTTTTATAAAATAATTTACATTTTTTTAATGGATCAAGAATGGCTGGATTTTGAAATTGAGCGTTTTTTAAAAAAAATATATGCATACTTGTTGTTTCTAGGCACAATAATTCAATAATGCAACAGTCATTGTAGGTTGGAGTAAGTCGCAACGTATTATATCTGAACTGTGCAAATGAAGATCAGTGGCATTGAGTTTAAAATACCGCAGCGTGTGTAATGAAAAGCAAGAATATAAAAGTTTCGCAAACTCTTAAAAAGTATCTTGTAGTATAAGACTTAATGTAAAGGTAATTTTCCTACATGAATCGAAAATACCAAATCTTTAAATAGTTTCAAACAAATACAATTCAATAAATCGTGAACATTCAGATATTGTCCTAAAAATGCGAATATTGATTAGCGACTTTAAGATGAAAAATACTGCGTTTTGTGTAATGAAAAGCACATATATATAAATAAAAGTTTATTATTAGACTTTAATGTAAAGCTAATATCCTAAGAGAAAACTAAAATATTTAAATCTTTAAAAAAACGAATTCCACAAAAGATCAATGAATTTGAAAATCTCTTAACATTGATATATCAAAGTTTGGCCCAAATGTTTTGGGCTTTTGTTTTGTAAAATAGCTATTCATAACACTCATATATGGTTAATTTTATTAAATATTATGCGTATACATGGACAGTTACTAGGGTTACACACAGATTTTAAATAAATGATTCTCGTTCAATTGGTTTCTATCCAGTTCTTCAGTATTTCTTTAATTCTTTAATGGTCAGGATGCATTCCCAGGATACTTTAAATTTTATCAAGACCGAAAAATTCTCAAGTTGAAAGGAAAAATCAGAGTTGTGGATATCTAAGGAGGATCTGAAAAAGATATCAAATTGATTTTTAAAATATAGTTAGCAAATAAAATAAATAAAAATGATTTTCAAAATATATTTGAAAAATCAGAAATAAAAGAGAGAGAGAGAGAGAGAAATGGGGTTTAACGTCCACTCGACACAAACTAGGTCACTTCGGGACTAACATATGGTTTAATTTTATTTCAATAATTCGCTTGCGCATAGGGACTTTAGCAGTGGGAGGAAACCGGAGAAATAAAAGAAGTAACGAAACCAAGCGTTGAATTTCTCAATGACACTATCTATAGGCCAATTTGAGACTATCGCACGTTTTTCGCTCTTGCTTACGTTTGGAATATGATGATGGGGTGGTGGGGAGTACATGGTGATGATCAAACAACGACCGTTCTGATAATTCTGTCTCGAAATCCAATGGCGATAGTTTCATTGCTTTCGAGGTCGGGGGTTATGGGGGAGATTTAACTAGGTCGTAACGCTGCCAGAACGAAATCCCCTTATAGCACACAATCCGTCTTTTTTAGCCTGATGGGTGCAGAGAAATAGAACGTTGTTTAAAAACCCTATTTTATTTCATTACTTGTTTTTCGTCTCATCCGAGGATCGCAACCTGCCAATTAGGAAACGGAGCGCCACTATCCGGCAAAATTCCCCCTAACATTGCCAACCTGTTTCCAGATAACGACTGGAGCATTATAAAATGAAATAAAATGGGGTTTAACGTCCTACTGTTCTCCGTCGACTGGGCTAATGAAGAAGGGCATACGCTGTATAGTGTGTTATAAGGGAAATTATGTAAACATCCTTTTAATTCAATTTTAAATTTATACGCCCAACAACACAAACAGCCTGTTCAATAAATCTAATTCGTCGCCCGTTGAGGGGCACCTTACTTAAAAGATGCATTATGCAAGCTGTAGATAAATAGCTGACAGTTCTTGCTTGATAATAGTTAACAAATAGATAATGATAGATGAATATTCAAATTACATCATTCTGAGCGAAGTTATGACTGTTTGAAAATGTAGCGCAGATGGTCTATTATCGTAGCTAAGCCTCGATTATCCATTTTATCATTACATTTTTAGATCTCGTGGGTGTTTTAATCTATTCAAATCTCACCCATCCGGTGAGCCAGAGAGTTGATTATGGGTTCGTTTCAATAATACTAAAGTAGTTTATATAACACTTGAAGCCAACAATAAAAAGAGACCTGTAATAGGCAGATTTGGCTCTGGTACATAATGTACCTTTAAAGTATAAGTATTACTTTTCAAAAGTCCATTTGCCAATTTCAAGTCCTATTTACAAATGAAATGGGGTTATTAACGTCTTATTTGTCTACACCAACAGAGCCAATGCAGTCGGACATGGTCCATGCGGTGGGCTTGGCGCCGTGGTGGTCCAGTAATAGAGCAGGAGCCCATCCCACCACTGAAAATGCCTGGTATGGGTAATTGATGATGCATGTGGTCATGCAAGTTCCATGCGGTAATTAGTGAATGGGCTAATCTAGCTTAGGTTTGACGTGGGGCACTTCGGGATATTGAACGGAGCTTCCCCACTACTGAAAATGTCCGGCATTGTGGACATGCGGAACATTTTGCAAAACGTTTCATGCTGTTAGTTAATGCGCTAGTTTAGTTTTGGTTTAGAGATATGCTGGCGGGTTTTCCCCAACACACAAAAGTCTGATACATGTGACCATACAGTTAGTATGTGAGCTAGTGTAGGTTAGTATTGGGGTTCCTGTTCTTTCAGTCTGCGGGACAAGTCCAGCCGCCTAGCTATAGTCATGGGATACTAGGCCCAGACAGCGGCACTACGACGAACTGTTATTTCAATTTCCAACGGACAAGGGTTCTATTACGTATTGTGAAATAGAGTTATCGTTCCACTTTTCTGCACCAACCGGGCTAATCAAGATGTGCCCAGGACTATGCTACGGTATGCAGCATTGGAAACTCCCAGGGGAAATTCTGGGCCAACACTGGAATCTAACCCGAGACCCTGGTTATTGGGTCAGCGATGTTCACTTTCCGTTTTCGGGTAATAAAAGAAAAAGGGCAATCCAGCTTGCTGTGACCAGAGGGTTAGTGCTAATTGATAAGGCCAGTTCAACTTTTCATCATGGGTCACGAGATATAAACAGGGCTAGCGCTAATCCCAACCCTAACCATAACCCTGGACCCAGTCCCAAATTCTTAAACCTAACCTACGAACTCGCCAACAATCACGTGCCCTAACCTTATTTCCGTTTTCGGGTAATAAAAGAATAAGGGCAATCCAGCTTGCTGTGACCAGAGGGTTAGTGCTAAATGATAAGGCCAGCTCAATTTTTTGTCATAGGTCACGAGATGTAAACAGGGCTAGCGCTAATCCCAACCCTAACTCTAACCCTGGACCCAGCCCAAAATTCTTAAACCTAACCTACGATCTCGCCAACAATCATGTGCCCTAACCTTATTTACATCTCAGCGACCTTGACAAAAATGGAACTAGCCTTAACAAATAGATTTAGCCGTGACCAGAGGGCTTACTGAACAGATGATTTATCAAACGTGACATCAATGTTTTTTTATACTGTGATTTGTCAGAAGGATTGTTTGTGTTACGTCATCTAATATCCATTATGTTGTTAACGTAAATTAGCCAGCAGCAAGCAGATAATATCGGATTTTTTTACAATCACCCGTGGCTTCATATGATTTTTAATATGTAAAAATACATAGAATATTAACGCTTGATTGCCTTAACTTTGGTTATTTATTTAGCTGTCGGCGTCTAGTCCCAAGTATACGTTTGCGTGCACGTAAAGGAACCCTTGAATCTTGGAATTCGATGAAGACGGAAAGTTTCCCCAATAGCACACTGCATGGTGTATACGTGTCATCACTAGCCCGGTTGGTGCAGAAAAGTAGGACGTTAAATCCCATTTCATTTAATTACTGTTTGAAAAAGAACGGGGGGTGGGGGTGATGGTTGGCCGAATGGTTAGCACGTGCGTACTGTATCATACCGTCTGTCATTGAGGCAACTGGCGTGGTTTCGAATCCCCGGTTGTACGTGACAAGGAGTAGGGTCGTCTGTCCAACCTCGTGGGTTTTCTCCGGGTCCTCCGGTTTCCTCCCACTGCTAAAGACCCCTACGCGCAAGCGAATTAATGAAATAAAATTAAACCATATGTTAGTCCCGAAATGACCTAGTTTGTGTCGAGTGGACGTTAAACCCCATTTCTCTCTCTCTCTTGAAAAAGAACATTCCCCCATGAGAACAACACTAATCAGTAAAAATGTTTCCAACACTCAATCAACCACTGATGTTCTACTTGAGATTATTTTGATAATTGCAAGAGATTTTAGTCTTCTATTTATTGTTTATTGTCATAGTAACCAATTCTTCCGAATGCATTATAAATCAAATCAATCAATCACTAGAACGTATACAAATATGGAAGACCAACCAGCTCCTTATTCAGTGTTCTTAATTCTTAATAAGGACTAATAACACTGAATAAAGAGCTGTTTGGTCTTCCATATACAAACCCGTAAACTGTTGTATTTGAAATGGTTTTATGGATGTGTCTTCTCATTACCGTAAAATATCCATGCGGAAATATTCTTATTATAAGCCGATTGCATTATTTCGATACAATCAAAATCTCGTGAACTAGAAAACCTTTCCTTGTTTCCGAGGTATTTATAATCCGTTGTAGCGTTTTGACGCGGTTCCCGGTTTGGATTATCTCAAAAATAAGAAGCCCGTTAAAATTGGCCAATACGAGCTAAAAGTTGTGTTAGAACATTTTTATGGGTTAAAATTGGCAGAAGATATGTGACAACTTTTGAACTAATACACGTTCATCAGCCCCTTCCCCCTCTCTCACCCCACCACCACCACCAGATTCGGTGGACCGTCTGTTTTTCGGGCAATGTGTTTCTACTTTTCGGGCAAAAACATCAGAGTATGGGGAACATTATGCGTAGATCATTAAAAATAAACAACCATCACAGCTTTGTGGAAAATTCGTTTTAGTTAATGATTGATTCATTCTGAAAATTCGGGTGGTAAAGAAAATTTTCGGGCAAATAGCCTCAGCACCCCCCCCCCCCCCACACACACACCCAACTGAGATTGCCCATGAAGAAGACTTTTCTTCATTAGCTAAAAGTCATATTGGAACCTTTTCGTTGTCTAATAAGAGCTACAAGTTATATTCTTAATGCATAACGTGTGTACGTTCATTAAGTACGGTATCAAATAGGATACTGGTCTACGATGATGCTGGGTTTTCAATAAACAAATGGGTTGTATGAAATGGTGATATAATGGGCAGTGATGTCTGGTCTAATCACGTAATCATGTATAATACTGACATTGTCACATCCGGTATTTGATCGATGACACACGAAACGACCGTTCAATAATGAGATTAAAAAACAAATGAAATGTGGTCTAATGTCAAAATTTTCTGCACTAATGAAGACGGGCAAACGTCATGCAGTGTACTATGCAGGAAGGGAACTACGGTGGCTAAGTGAGTAAGCCGCTGGCTCGCTAGCCTGGTGGTCGCGGGTTCGATCCCGGTGTTGGCCGAGAAAGTTCATCGGGATTTTCCGGCGTGGTTTCCCTTTGTCAGTGGTGTGCACGTAAAATATCCCTTGGCAGTTGGATATAAGAGTAGTCCGTAGCGCCGCTGTCCGGGCAAAATTTCCCCCATCGCACACTGTATGGCGTATGTCCTTCTTTCATCCGCCATGGCTTTCCTGTTTTCTTCGCGCGCAACCCCGGTGGCCACCCACTTGGTGAAGTTTTTCTAGAAATATATTTCAAGTTTTTAAACGGGAAAAACCCTCCTCTCGCATAACAGGAATTAACCTGAACTTACGTGAACTTATGATATTAAATTCCGTTTAAGCCAACAATCTAATCTTCTGTTCTCTGATCACATATAAGATTAGAATAAATTAGTGTCAAATCCTTAAGTTGAATAAACACACCCGGATCAATGTTATCGTCTTCTATTCGATAAAGAAGGACAGTGGCCTCACCTAGATGAGGGGGGGGGGGGGGGCTGGGGGGGCATATTCCCAGGGATGGAACCTCTCGGGGGCGGGGGCCAAGGGGGGGCATATTTCCAGGGATAGCACCTCTCGGGGGCGGCAAACTATCTAAGTGCATAGCAGAAATCCCCATTGAATATTCAGCAGATCACCGGCCTTCGCTTCTCCTATACCTGTGTAAACCAGTTCATATTCCAGCAAATAGAGAGGGTAGAATTATGATTTTCCAAGATATTTTATAAGGTTTTTCAATCAAATGAATGGCTGAAGGGGGGGGGGGCGCACTGAGAAGCTTTTGCCCTGGGCGCCACATAGGCTTGCGAGGCCCCTGAAGTGGGACGAATACTAGAATGACCGATAACTTTTCTTGTTTTGTATTTTGAGTAAGGCGCCTTTTCGCTAACTAAAAAGTCCCGGGTTCGCTTCAGATGTTGGTCAAGACAGGTCCTGCTTTCGCTTGGTAAAACTCTTCCTTTCGTTCAGATGGGACGAAAAGCCGAGGTCACGTATAAAGGTTAGCGTGCGCGTAAACAATTGCCAGTTGGAATACGAAGAGTACGCGGTAAGATGCCCATGTCCGAGAAACAATGTCACCCATAGCTCAGTACATGGCCTATGCCAGTCTTTCTTAGTCCGCTTGGTGCAGAAAAGTAGGACGTTAAACCCATTCCCCCTCCTTCTTTAAAAACAACATTCGATACCCCATTCAATTTACTTAAGAGGTTAACTCAGCAAATACAATTTGACGGATTTGAATTTCTTTAAAATTAACTATTGAATATGAAATCAAAGAACATCCTCAAAGTAAAACACCTCACAATATGTCGTTGAAGGAGGATGTACGGTTACGTCCTTGTCAATAACGAAATTAGATCTTTGTTTATTGAACTAAATGTAAAAGAATGCGGATTATAAAAAAAAAATAATGATTATGGGTTATGTGCACTCACGTGCTCGTACTAGATGATATGAAATGACCCAGTATGAGTAGTGTGGACTTTACCACCCCCCTCTCTCTCTCTCTCTCTCTCTCTCTCTCTGTATGACATAAACATATATTTACCTTTTTATCTCGAATGTCAGTTATAACGAATTTTTGAGAGCAACGAAAGCTGACATTAAACCAAAGAGGAAAATGTTGGATATAACGGAGCTGCTAGAACTTGGTGTTGTTGATCCTGTCACAACGGGACCAGCGCTTGATGACTGAAATAAATAAATAAATAAATGGATGAATGAATAAATATTGGACAGCAACTTGTGGACGTTCCACTGATAGGTATAATTAAGGAGGGGTCCGGTAATAGGTAGGGGAGCGGGGGTTGGTCCCCTTCTCGCTTCATAATCACAATATTTCAGTGTCAAATTAAAATTTTGAGTTGTATGTCGCGTCCGCTTCCACCGAAATATCCCAGAAAATGGCATTTTGTCCATGGGTCGATGAATATTTTCTTAGGAAAGCCCAACGCCCCCTGCCTCCCTATACTGGATAATCCTAGAGTTGCCACTATACAATCCCTCGCACTCCACCGATACCCCCTGCTGGATAATCCTGGAGTCGCCACTACTGCCCCGCCCATTTTATGCCCATAAGAAACTATAGATAATCGACATGTGTTGACGTATGAATGTATGATATTTATAGATTCCATGAGGTTTATTTGTGTAGAGGTCTATTACAATCGGTGTCCACCCAATAGTGATAACAGACAATAATAATAAAAGTGCTAATATAAATAGATTATACTGGTGGATTAAGATAGTTGATTTGACATATTTCTTGTTAATTCAGACTTGAACAAGGTAATAAACCTAGTAGATTGGGGCGGGGTGCGGGGTAACGCGTGCCCTTTAGATCATAAAGTCTGTCGTTGAGTCAACTGGGGTGATATAGATTCCTCGGTTGTATATTACAATAAGTGGGCTCGCATGTCCAACCTCGTGGATTTTCCCCGGGCCCTAACTTTCCTAAGAAAGTTGCCAGAAATGCGATTCATGGTTGAGAAGTAAGCGCAGCGTAGGGCAGGAATGGAGGGAAGAAAAGAACAATTCAAAGCCCACATCCCCGGCGTTAAAGGGGCATTAGGTAAGATTAGATAAAGAATTGACAGTTCTCGCTATAATAGTCAAAAAAAAAAAAGATAATGCGAACAGAATATGCTGAAAATATCAGTCAAATTGCTGAACTCTGAACCGAAATACTAGCAATAATAAACAAAGTTTCGATTATCCATTTTTACGTTAAATCATCCATCACAAAACGTATTCAAATCCACTAATTATCGCCGGCTAGCGATGGCATCGGGGTTGATTATGCTCTTCATAAGTTAATTAATGTCTAATTAATAATTTAGATAACATTTAAAGCCTAAAGAAAGGCCTGCCATAGGCAGATTTAGCTCTTGCATTCTCTGGGTAACGGTCTGACCGTAAAGTGTGGGTTCACTAGTGTAGGCAATCTGGTTAAAACACAGATCCTATTTCGTTTCGTTTTTATAGTTCAAAATTTCGTTTTACTTGTCTTTACTACACTAGGGTCAAAGGCTGCTCGTATAACCCTAACGCGACCTCTCACTACAACCGGTCAGATCTTTATGTAGTGTAGGCCATCGAAAGTATAAAAAACGAAACGAAATATAGATCTGTATTTTAATAAGATTGTAGGGTAGGGGAACCACACTACACTTAAAACAAAACCGATAGGAACAAAACCCGCGGACAAGACAAACTACACAGACATTGTGAAAAATAAACAAAATATATCAAATCAAGTGTATCGATTAAATTACAGATATTGTGTACTTTGAGTATTGTGAGAAATAAACAAAATATATCAAATCAAGTGTATCGATTAAATTACAGATATTGTGTACTTTGAGTTTACACATAGCCGTATTGAATTACTGCAATCCGGGATTATCACGTATAAGGTTACCCTTTTATACAACCATTAGATTAATATGTTATGTTATCTAGACTTTGTGTTATTCAGCTTATCGTATCAAACAAATTTGATGAAATTTAAAATTATATAGTGAAAGGCAATACGGTTATTATTCAATGTATAGAAGATCGAACTGGGGTCTAATTTCATTTAAGTCGTTTCAGCTTAATTTGAGTTTAATATATTGTACTATGCAGGATTGGCACTGTGGTATATGAATACGCCTATATACAATCTCCGATTGTGACTAAATACCCAACAAGAACGGACATATACGTAATATTCATATCACGATTTAAAAATCGACAAGACGGTATACAAGCCAAAATGCAAGTCGAAAATAAGAAATTAGGAAAAAACGAAGGTCGTTATTATCGCGGTGTGTTATTTCTTAATTCCCTATTTTCGAGTTGATTTTGACTTGTATAGCGTGTTGTCGCCTCACATTTTGTCGTAACTTCTACTTTTCGACTTTCGCGTTCTGAAGAGGCGAAAAGTAGAAATTATGAATGGTAGCTATAGGCTTCCATAGTTAACAAATTCTTGACGCAAAAATCACCGCATTAATTATAAATTAAGCAGTCAAGTAAGGTCTGAAATTTGTATGATACTACACGGCTAAAACGGCAATAAATCCATGCACGCCATATTAATATGTCGTCATGTATCGGTTTTTAATTAACTAATTATTGACTGTGAATATTGATGTAGAAATTCCAATAGTTTAAACTCTGATGATTGCAACATTCTTGAATTATGCCCATTGTCTGTCTTTCGATAATGCCACTTACTGTCAAACGCGTTTATTTTGGTAAGCGAGAGAGAGAGAGAGAGAGAGAGAGAGAGAGAGGCAGAGAGAGAGAGAGATGGGGTTTAAAGTCTACTCGACACAAACTAGGTCATTTCAGGACTAACACATGGTTCAATTTTATTTCAATAATTCGCTTGCGCGTAGGGGTCTTTAGCAGTGGGAGGAAACCGGAGGACCAGGAGAAAACCCACGAGGTTGGACAGGCGACCCTACTCCTTGTCACGTACAACTGGGGAATCGAAACCCCGCCAGTTGACTCAATGACAGACCGTATGATACAGCGCGCGCGTGCTAACCATTCGGCCATCCAACCCCCAACGACTTGAGAACAAGAACATGCTAGAAGAACAGCAAGATGAATAGAGCTTGGTGCCTAATTCCAGGTAGAAAAATAGCCTACCTGTTATCGCAAGATAACCTACTTTATGCAACAAACAAGGACAGACATGTAAAACTTTTTATCTGAAAATATACGTCCAAGGACGCAAAGGCATGTCATGAATTGAGCACATTTCTTTGTCTAGATTTTAAATAAAAAGTTAGCTAGACGTAATATTGTTTGTCAAATGAGTTGTTAATAAATCTGTTTAATGGTAGCCTAGATTATCTAATCTTAATCATGGAACACGTAATTAGCAATTTTCTATCGTTGTCATCCAGTGGCAGACCAAGTAGACGGTCTGTCATTGAATCTCGAGTTGTGGTTTCGATCACAGGCATGAACGTTACAGAGAGAATATTGACCTGGGTAACCTCGTGGGTTTTCTCCCGATCCTCCGGTTTCATTCCACCGCTAAAGACCCCTACGTGCCGTGCAAGCTAATTATTGAATAAAGATGCCCCTCTTTAGCTACGGGGATTGGGGCTGCGAATTATCTTTTTCCGTCCTCCCATTCCTACCCCACACTGCTCTTTTTGAAATTCACTACGACTGATTTTCAGGGGGTTAGGTGGCCGAATGGTTAACACGTGCACGTTTGAACATAAGGTCTATCAATGAATCAAGTGGCGTGCTTTCGATTCCCTGCTTGAATGTAACAAGGAGTAGGGTCGCCTCTCCCACCTCGTGGGTTTTCTCCGCCCCCCCCCCCCCCGGTTTCCTCCCACTGCTAAACACTCCTACGCGTAAGACCTAGTTTGATTAGATAGAACGTTAATCCGCATTGCTCTCTCTTCGCTCTCGACCGGTTTTCTTTGGAACACCTCCCCCCACCCCCGCCATGATTATAATTGACGTTAACCCTCTCTAAAGGACGAACGATGTTAATCCCGAAATATGTTTGAGTGTTGAGAAAAGTCCGTTTTCCATGCACGCGTTCTCACGGCGTTTCCGCGTGTGTTTTCGCCGTTACATGGAACAATGCCATTACATCTGCAGAAGACCAACTTTTTCGCCGGAGACCCCGCGAAAACTTGTATAATGGAAAAGGGGTCTTATCTCTTGAAAAAACCCATCCCCTCACATTTGTGTGTGCAAAAGGTTTATTTAACTTCCGCTTACACCTAAATGATATCGCAGACAACCTTCACATACCATTTTATTTAAAAAGCAAAGTTTATCGTTATCAGTAAAATATAGCAATAATTGACACGGGAATTCTAGTGACTCATACGGCGCCGACGGCCACCTGTTAGAACAGGTAAGTTAAGGTGTATATTGCTTACAAAAAAACAATAAGCTATTGTCCAGGTATGTAATAATTGAGTATTATAAACACCATGTAAAACAGTAACACGACACCAATTTCATGTCAAAAACATGACAACGAACATTTAAACATCCAATTAGTCTTTCACTCAAAATTATAAAAAGAATTGCTGCAAAGATGACATTTCACACAGAAAATGTAGCCGGGGCAAAAATGTTTCCAATCGAATTGAAATAGCACGCCGAGCGAAGCGTTGTTCTTAATTTTAAATGATTATTCCTTCCAATTTACAGATAAATGCTGTATTATAATCCAATCCAAACCGAAAATATTAATAGCTGGTTCATGTTCAGGGATTTAAACAGCGGGGGTTTAAGGTGGAGATAATGCCAAGTTTAACGTCCGGACGAGGGGCGGCGTGGGGGTGGGGGAGGGGGTGGGGGGACCGTTGATGAAATCAGAAGCCTTGAGACAGTAGGACTGCTCATTTAGGTGCATACATGTTTAGGATTACAGCGGAGTGAGCCTATACGGCATATTTGGTATATATGGACAGTAGAGATTACTATACAGGTCACAATTCTATGGAATACAATTACTGCTTATACCTGAGCGACGTTTCGACTAGGCTTCTCTAGTCATTATCAAGAGAAGCCTAGTCGAAACGTCGCTCAGTAATACGCAGTAATTGTTTGTATTCCATATAATTGTGACCTGTATACTCCAGTTCAATTACTTAATGCCATTGAAACAATTTAGAGATTACTAGAAATACAAATACTGGCTTCCCTTAAAAACACACAATGAGGCGACCACTGGACCCAAAATGTTACTGTCCACGTGTGCTCTGCTTGAGTGACGTAATGGGTGCTTGGTCTGTGTTGCTCGAAAGGCCTTGACATACAACAGACTCTGCGATTAAACGACAGAGGAGGAAGATGGCAGAGAATAATCCAAGAATTCACTTCGACTTCAATTTCGATTTTTGTGGTAATTACAATTACAAGCCGTGGATGGATTCTTCCTCAATCAAGTCACCTGACAAACAAGGCTGTTTAACATTATTTTATTTTTTTATCAAACCATCTCGAGAGGGATTTGAAGCAAACTATTGATGGATAAATTAGTTTGAATATGTTTTTAGTCCAAATATATCATCAAATCACACAGTATATTGTTGGAAAGCATCTTTAAACTACAAAAATATATATCATGCTGCGTGATATGCAAACATCACACACACCAACCATGTGATGTATTTGGCGACGGTAATAAAACGCCGAGCGAAGCGTAGCGCTTATTCTGAAAGTAAATCCTCTTTATTTTCCTGCCATTAATAATACCCGCAAAATATATTCAAACGAAAAAGGAAATAATATAAAATAGTTTGTGTCAAGTATAGAAGTAGGGCTCCTAAACTCAATTTGTTTCATTTCCTTTCCTTTATGACTGTATCTTGAATATTAGTCAAATAGGGGTGTGGCTTTATGAGCATGAATCATTATTTTATCTTATTTTAACCTGCTTGTCTAAGGATGACTGTGTCAGTATGCAAATGATGTGTAATTACTATAAGAGTATTTATTTCACATCACGAGATGACCTTCGTGATCGCAGTATAAAATGTTAATCCGGTACAGAGGTATGATGTCCAATATATCCACGGTATGTACCATCTACCAGATAACGGAGGAAATGAGATGAGGTTTAAGGCGAGTGTATTTGGGGGTGTCCAGAGGGGTCAGCCCCCCTCCTCCCAACCTGCTCATGTGGAGTCTATACAAGAGGGACTGAGGCGAGAGCCGCGGAGAGAGCCTGTACATTTAAAAGACCAAACTTCCCTTCAGAAATGACCTCGGATGCAAGGAAATCGACTTCAAACTTTCAACATTTTCTGGAAGAAGAACCCCATATCCCCGTTTCAGACTCCGCGGTCAGTCACGTCGGAACCGCCCCCCCATCCCCCACCGGCTTATTTTTCTGCACATGGAAGGAAGTCGACTTCAAACTTTCAAAAGTTTCTAGGCGGGTGGGGGTGGGGTGGGGAGAGAACCCCATATCCCTGTTTGAGGCTCCGCGGTCTGTCACGTTGGAACAGGGACCCCCTCCCCCCCCGGCTCTTTTTCCTTCACACGCCCCTGTGTTTAACGTTCTACTCTTCTGCACCGACGAGGCTAATGAAGCTCAACATATATTGCCTTTGTTAAGACTGTATATTCCGGATGTGACGCATCAATAAGAAATTAGCTGGCCTAAAATATGAGTGTCCATATAAAAAAAATTGCATTGAATTAAATCTCTGAAAAAAAATTATTTAAAATTTCCTATTCCTGTTGATTCATTATATGAATATAACGTATTAAGTTGCCGACACAGGTAGAACAATACAAACATTTTAAATCCAAATAATGTTCAATGCAGATAAGCGAACCGTGGCAGGAAAATGGGCAATCAAACACCTGGTTGTACCCTAGAAGGAAAATACGAACATTCGGTGTTGTATCTCTAAAATACAGTTGATACTATGTCACGTGCGTGACATTATTGATATAATGAAATAATAATTTAGGACGTAAAATTTACAACTTTAAATCTATCGTATAAAATTCTTGGTAAAACACAAATGACTATGTATAAGTACTTTATTACGTTCTGACATCGCCCATTTATTGACATCATAAATCATTCTCAATTAAATACGTCATAACTTATTATATCATTTCTAAATTTAGTGATGACTCCGAAAGGGTCACAAAAAATATACAACTGCTTTATTACACAGCTCGGTGTTTTGGGTAATCGACCCCACCCTCAACAATACAGTAATTTCTAGCTGTCAAGGGTTACTTTTGTGTGCACACCAATTTGTGCACACACTTTTGTAGAAATTGGAAATTGCGGCGCCTATATTCCCATACCATTACAAATTATTCCCAAATACATTTTAACTAAGTTAATCAATTGGTCAATTAATTCCTGTTTTGTCAGATTTCAGAATTCAGAGAGCGGGAGGGTTTAACATCCACTCGACACAAGCGATGTCATTTCGGGTCTAACACATTGTTCAGTTTAAGTTTAATAATTCGCTTGTGCGTTGGGGTCTTCAGCAGTGGGAGGAAACCGGTCGACCTGGAGAAAATCAACGAGGTGAGGGCAGTTAACTCTACCCCCCGGGGAATCGAAACTATGCCACTTGACTCAATGACAGACCTTCTTATTTCAACGCACACACTTTAACAATTTGTGCCCCATCCCCCGCCCACCAGTAAGAAGAAGAGCTACCCCTCCTTGAATAAGGTTAAAATAAAGTGATCCGAACGAACAAACCCCATACACTTAAATTTTCATTTAGAAAGATTAAAGATTAACGCCCCTCTCCCTCGCCCCCACTCTCTCTCTCGGTAAACAGGCGGGTGTCACTAGGCATAAATCCGAAGTTTCTGTACAAAAAGATGAAATAAGTTATTTATTCGAATAAAGTAGGAAAGTTTGTGCGCAAAAGTTGACATAGATAATTTCAAATTTTAAAAAAAACCAAAAAAAAAACCATTAAAATTTTAATTTCGCTCTTTGACTTGATGCCCCGTAGATACCCAAGGGCGGTGTGGCGCAATAGTGCACTGTTGGCACCGGCGTCCTATTAAACACACACTCTCTCTCGCATATAAGCAAAGTTCAATTTAATTTTGTATCATTACATATCACTGAATGGCGAAAATCGCCCCATCCAGTTTAATTTAATTGAATAATTTTTCACTCAAAAAATAAACAAAGGATTGAGACAAAGGATAAGTTCTAGATAAATAACCAAAATCTGAACATACCCCAGTGTTTGGACCAGCAGGTGATCCCGTTACAGTCGATGATGGTGCGCCATCAGTGGAAGTGCTGCTGGTACTGTGACATGCCACAAATACGGAACATAAAACCAAGGCAGCGACAATCTTCATCGTGATGAGTTATTTTAAGCGATAACTAGAATTAATACTGGAGAACAAATTTGTTTCACGTCTGCACGGCTCGAGCTCTGTGTTGCTGTCTGTCTGATAACCGTTGACGTCTGCGGGTGAATTTATTTCCTTTTGCTGTGTCACATGATCTGTCATCAAGTGTATTCATAGTAACCATGCAAAATAAAATAATATAAAAACGCAACACTATAATTTGATCAGAGCAGACATTATCGTTAACTAGGAATATCATCATCATACAAAAGATTAATCTTCGGCGCACAGAGAGAGAGAGAGAGAGAGAGAGAGAGAGAGAGAGAGAGCGAAATGGGGTTTAACGTCCACTCGACACAAACTAGGTCATTTCGGGACTAACATATGGTTTAATTTTATTTCAATAATTCGCTTGCGCATAGGGGTCTTTAGCAGTAGTAAGGAAACCGGAGGACCCGGAGAAAACCCACGATGTTGGACAGGCGACCCTACTCCTTGTCACGTACAACCGGGGCGACTCAATGACAGACTTTATGATACAGCGCGCGCATGCTAACCATTCAGCCATCCCCCCCCCTTCGGCGCACAGTTAAAACAATAGTATTACTTTACAGCTGTGCAAGGTGACTCATTCATCCGAGGTCTTGGGTTTATTATTAAAGATGCATTATGTAAGAGCTAAATCTGTCTATTGTAGGTCGTGAGTTTGGTTTTATTTTGATAACTCCACTCAGAATAAAGTAATTTGAATGAAATTTTCAATATATTCATTTTGCATTATCTATATTGGAACTATTGTAACAAGAACGACCAGCTCTTTATCTAAATTTTACATAATGTATCTTTAATGTGTCACACAAGGTACATTTACGTAACATTATTCTGTTACAAACTTAATTCAAAAGAACATTGCCCGACCATAGTGGTCTATGAGACACTAGATATCAATATAAGTATACATACAAATAAATATAAGATATCCCATTATAAACATAACCCACATCCCTTTTATAATGTGTGATCTTCTTTGATACAGGGCGAGGGGGTGGGGTGGGAGCATGCCACGACGAACTGCTGAATGTCTGAGGATTGGTGGAGCAATTACTCATTATTAAGACAAAAATCAAAAACGTCCATTTTCACTTTTGATAGTGTATCTCTTTGCGATTGAAATGGTGTCGCCAGAGAATTCGCCCATATGAACTGTTTATGTTCATGTGTAGGCAATTGGCCTGTTATTAACATACACTGGTTACCTCTAATAAAAACAGCAGTGCATTTCCGCAGTTTTGTATTGTTTCTGAATAACCTCTACTTTCTTGAAGAGTATATATGCGTGTTATATTCGTGTCCCCATATGCTGCATATAGCACCATTATAGGTTTTATCGGATACGCTTTCATTACGCATGCATCTAGAGCTATATATATATATATATATATATATAGGCGTGTTATATTCGTGTCCTCATATGCTGCATATAGGTTTTATCTATTACGCGTTCAAAGCCGATTTTATTTGATTATGTCTCGACATTGTATATTATCTTTGTTGACTATCAAATTAGTTCCCTTATGTGATCAAAGCGAAGCGAGTATGGGTCATGAGAATAGTATTTGATGAGAGAGAGAGAGAGAGAGAGAGAGAGAGAGTTTAACGTCCGCTCGACACAAACTAGGTCATTTCGAGACTAACACAAAGTTTAATTTCATTTCAATAATTCGCTTGCGCCTAGGGGTATTTAGCAGTGGGGGGAAACCGGAAGACCCGGAGAAAACCTATGAGATTGGACTGGCAACCCTACTCCTTATCAGGTACAACCCAGGAATCAAAACCACGCCAGTTGACTCAATGACAGGCCGTATTATACAGCGCGCACGTGCTAACCATACGTCCCCACCCCCAATATTTGATGAATCACTGCTGAAATGAAATAAAATGGGGTTTACTGTCCTACTGTTCTGCTCCGAACTGGGCTAATGCAGGACCATACATACGCCATACATTGTGCACTACGGCCTACTTTTATATCGAATTCCAACTGTCAAGGGATCTTTTACGTGCACGCGAATGTGTAAACGGGACCTATATATAATATATTGGTGAAAAATAATGATAAGTCGAGCGCTCGAGAACATATAATCGAGCACGTCTCAATCGATGTTTTAAGCTTGTGCATTATTTAATACTTGTTCGTTTTTACAGCCCATTCAAAGCTGCTGTGACGGAGCGGATACACCCCATCCCTACTCAACTGCCACACAAAAAGGGGGCATATTAGTATCAAAGAAAAGGGACGTAGAAGTATGTTCGCCGTGGTGGTGGCGTGGAACTATATACTTTATCAGCATGGTTACGCTCTAATTCCCAAAGTAAGGCTACTGAATTTACTTCCCTTGATTCGATGTGTTGTTTATTGCTTGCAATGTCTGTTTAGAATATGCATGGTTTGTCCCCGGATTTGTCTTATAGGTTTAATTGTGTGTGGTGCGGTCCTCCTACATTTACTATTTAAGTCTTCTCGTTGTTGGGGTTGCCCTAGCTGACCGGTCACATCTGTCTTCCGGTCGTGGTTTAGATTGCCGATGTGAGCGTATGTGGCTTGGAGATAAGGGCGCCTTCTCAACCTCGTGGGTTTACTCTGAGTACTCCAGTTTCCTCCCACAGAAAAGACTCCTGCGCGTGAGCTAAGCATAACAAAATAATACAAATTGTCTGCGATATCACCATCAGTGGAAGCGGACTTTAAACATTAATAATACAAAAAAAGGCTTTTCGATCGTCCCCTTCAAATTAATACAGGAGTAAAGTAGACATTTTGGTATTCTACTCAATACTTCAAACTAATCGTCTAATCGATAATCTCTCTAATCCTGATCGATTGATTTTAAAACATCAGCCATCTCTTCCTTATCAACACTAATTCCAACGTTACCCGGTAGAAAAATCTCGAACAAATGACTGTTGAGTTAATACTGTAAATACCTGTCACTTACTGTACACACTGAAGTTGACCAGATAACACAGAGAGAGAGAGAGAGAGGTTTAACGTCCACTCGACACAAACTAGGTCGTTTCGGGACTAACATGGTTCTATTTTATTTCAATAATTCGCTTGCGCGTAGAAGTGGGAGAAATCCGGAGAACAAGAAGAAAACCCACGAAGTTGGACAGGCGATCCTACTTCTTGTCACGTACAACCGGGGAATTGAAAGCACGCCAGCTGACTCGATGACAGACCTTATGATACAGTGCACACGTGCTACCCATTCGGCCACCCAACTCCCTGACCAGATAACGGAGAATAAAACAAAATGGGTCTCAACGTCCTCATTCTCTGCATCAACCTGGCTAACGAAATGAGATTTAGCGTCCTAGTTTCTACACCGACTCGGCTCCTGACTCAAGAAGACGAACATAAACCATGTGTTGTGCTATAGATGGTGTTCCAACTTTCAAAGGTTCTTTTACGTGCAGGCCAACGTGTACACCAGACTTGCGGTTTTCATCCCACCCGAATGGCTATAGGGAATATTAGAATACACTGACTCGGCTCCTGGCTCAAGAAGACGAGGATACGCCATACACTGAAAAAAACTTGTGTTGGATCTCAACACAAGTACTTGTGTGAAATTTATTCTACACAAGTTATGTGTTGTTTTGCATTGCATTAACACAAACTTGTGTTCTTTTTAATGCATTAACACAAATCTTGTGTTTTTTCCACATAATTAACACAAGTAATGTGTACCGTCAACAGATATTTTTTTTTTTAAATTTGAACTCCATACAAAGTCTTAATCCGGGGGTCCACAAGTAAGAGAAAGGTATTTTTTACTCAGACAATATAGCCAGACAGACTTGAATGCTAATTGGTGTTAAGATGTCTGTAGTTAAAATAAAGTTGGGCCCAATAACCTGGTAGATCAAAGGCCTGTTTAGCGCTCATGCCCGGTGTGATTTTAACAATTGACTCCAAATGCGTTGACAAGAAAATAAGTAAAACTGTTATTGAATGTGATTGGTTGATAAAATCAACGTACTATAGGCTACATTTTGTCTGCGATATCATCTCGGTGGAAGCGGACATTAAATGAAGTGATTTCACACAATTAATTTAACATTTAACAACGTGCTGAAATGATTTTGGAGCAGTGATATGTTTGACAAATGTAAGCTAATGGTCACATAGAATACAAGACCGCAGGTTTGTGAATATTTATATAAAAAAAATAATACCATGTATGTAATTTAGCATCGATATTGTTTCTCTGTATAATATTAGTATTTCGTTTCCTTAAAAAAAACTCCAACAATTTAAACCGGAAGTTCATGTTTATAATATGGCGCGGTCAGGAAAAAAATTTCGGCATGTTATTATCAAATCTGTTCAATTTTTCTGAAATCATGCTTAATTAACATTAGTTGTTCGGCGCTACGATGTTGTTCAAATACTTACATTACAGAATCACATTATGATTAAAGCAGAAACGGTTCGACTTGAACCAGCAGGTAAGAATCTGTTTTGAAATTATATCTTGGGAGGTTGGATTGGCGTTGGAGACCCGATTGGCGGCCATTTTGATTCTTGTTTCATGATTTTTTTATATTATAACGATTTTGCCAAGAGTAGACATAAACGCGGGCACAGACTAGAAAAAAATCTTTTTACACTTTTGTGATAGTTGAATTGTAATCTAATTTATGTTTAAAAAAACAACCTTAAATCTAATAAGCAGACGGAAGATATGGACGAACAACAAGAAGAAGTTATGGAGGTCCCAACAACTGAACCTATGGAAGTAGAAGAATCGTTTACAGCCGAAACCCGATACGATGTGCCAGTTCCGGTTATGGAGTCCTCCATCTCAGACGATGCCGACGTTAGTGTCTTCTGCGACGAAGAACCCGTAGTGGTGTATCACTATAAACCTCAGAATGCCTCGTTCGGCATTTCTGTCCAAACGAGGCAAAAACGTGTCAAAATTTTTGCCCCGATTTTGCCTCGTTGTAACGAGGTAAAAAAAATACCTCGTTTCTCTGGAGTTCCAAAACGTGTTTTTTTTTAAATTGCCCTGATTTTGGAACGAGGTATTTTGTTCAGAACGAGGCTGGGTAAAATTGCCTCGTTTACTAAACGAGGTATTTTATCCAA